TAAGAGCCGCTCACTGCCTGAACATAGTGCAATGGGATTTCCCAGCGGGTGAGGATAAAGCCAATGTGTCCTTCCTTCCGTGCTAATCCTCCGGGCCCACTGCCCCCAGACCCATTTTATAGACATAAGACTAAGGCTTAGAGAAAAAGAATCTATCCAGCCAGTGGCCATATCTGACCAGTGTGACCTTGAAGCTCCCACCCTGATGGATGTTATTTAGAGATCTAACTACAGGGTCCCAAAGTTGTCACAAGCGGTGGCAGAGGGGGTGCCTTGGCGTTTCTTGGCAACCCTCACAAAATATGTGCCTGGTGGAATCAACGCTGGGGAAATCCATCCGCCCTTTCTGTGCCGCCTGGTTCTGGGAGGGGGCGGCCAGAGGGTCCCCTGCTCCGCRCAGCCTGCTGGACGTGGGGTGCAGAACTGTGCGGTGAAGTAATGGGAGGCGCTTTGCAGGCGCGAAAGAAGGAGCTGATTTTTAATTGCACAGGGTTAAATCCAGCCCCGGGGTGCGCTCTCCCGGGTCCCTGCGGTGTCCAGGCGTCCAYGCGTGTGCAATGGGACTCGTGTCCCCCGCAGCCCATAGGAAGCGGTTAATAAATCAGGGAGGCTCTCAGGGGCTGCAGGTCCCGCCCCCCTTTGCCCCCCTTTAATTGGAGCCCCCGATGAGAGCGCAGGGTGGAGGAGGCTCCCGAGAACAGGGCTTGCACAGTCCTCGGGCTCRCGCTGCCAGCAGTTTTGGGAAAAGCAAAACAAAACAGAAACCCCCAACTCGCTAGCACCCCGCCACCTGCTCCCGTGAAAAGGCCATTCAGGCGGCGGCGGGACCGCGCTCGGGGGTATTCGTTAGCGCTCAGGCCGAGGGAGCCTGCTGGCCCAAGATTTCAATCTTCCCTTGTAACGTTTTACAACCCAGACCCGGCGACAATGGCGTCATTCAGGGMACCCGCTCACGTGGAGCAGAATGTGAAGGGGCGGGGGCCAGAGGCTGGTCTTCGGTGTTGATACCCAGGGAGAGTCCAGGGAGGGCCTGGGGACCCSGATCAGCGCTGGTCCGTGGGATGTGGGTGCAGCTGGTTGACACACAGAGGGCCTGGGATTTGACACGGGTGAACCCAAGTTTCCACTCACACAGAAGGAACCAGCGGGTGTAGCTGGTCTCCAGCTCCCTTATCACGGAGGGCTTCGTGCAGCAGGGTGGTTGTGTTTGGCACACAATTGGTGTGTGCAAGCAGGGTTACTTTATTATCAAGTGTAAGTGAGTTGGCAGGAGCTTTGGAACAAGACTGATCTGGGTGACATTCTGCTTTCCCTTGCCTCAGCTGTGTGATTGCTGAACCTCTCTGAGCTTGCATTTCCTTATCTCTCAAGTRAGCTTAACCATATGCATGGAATGAGGTTCTTTCCAGGATCAGATGAGGGAAAGCACTTAAGTCCAGCAGTGGAAGCTTCTGAAGGAGGAGGAAGGAGACAGTGGTGACAATGATGTGAAACTGTCCCTGGGGCTGCCTGTGTCCCCAGACCCACCAAGACTTTTTGACTCCCCATTTAACTCTCCGTGTGCTTGCTTCTGCGAGGATGCTCTGAAGCCGTAGAGGTGCATCCCAAGGTCTTGAGAGGTTTCCRCTGTTCTGGTACTAATGTGGTCCCTTGGACTTGTCCATCGATGGACTCGGCCAAAATCCCTTCACTCCTGTCCCTTGGGATATCTCCTTCCCTTTGTTTCTATCATCAACTCCAGGCTGCCATTTTGACATCTGCCAGGTGAACTTGGAACAACGGCACTGTAGGCATTTGAGAAAGATGCTCTTGATTGACAGGCGGGATGATGTTTCAAGCTCCTTAGAGGGGAGCAAGCTGCTAGGGGCAAGTGGTTGCCRTGTGACCTCCTCTCTCACTTCTGGGAGTGTTCGTAATCAAAAGCAGGGTTTGGCCGTTCAGCGAGGGGATTTGCCATTTGGCAGCATTGGACTGGAGAATTCCACGGAATCCATTGATACATTCTCTTGTAAATTCCCTCAGCCAACATAGTTTCCCCCCCCCCACCCCCGGGGGTTATTTTCTTTAATTAAAAAAAAATAACCATCCTCATTAAAAATAAAAAACCCAAAGAGATTTCCCTCCTTCCTCCTGGAGCCCTGACAGCCCAGCGCTTGACCTCAGCTCACCCAAATAGAATTGCCCGAGAGATTTGACAACTTTTGTAGTGTTTTATTATGAGGGTAATTTTTCTTCTTCTTCTTCTTCTTTTTCCATTACGTAGCTGAAACCACAAAGTCAGGGCTAGAAAGCTAATTTCATTCCTTTTAGCCTCTTGGCCCCCCTGGCTGGATTCTGATGAGTGGCCGCTCAGGATGGCTCCAACTTTGGGTCTGTGATGGCACAAGCCCCCCCGGGAAGCTCAGCTGGGAGACCCCTGGGTGTTGTGAGGAGCCTGTTGTCTCATGGAAACTTGGAAGGCTCACCCGTGTTCCYGCCTGGATGCTCTGAGCTTTCCCATGACAAACAAAGGCACGGGCACAGGGCGGGCATGGTGACAACCCCCAGGGGCAGGAGCAGGGAGCCTGGAGCCCTGAGCTAAGCTTTAAATACTGAAAGAAGTAATTAGGAGACCATAGAGAAATTCTTAGGGGCGACTGGGTTGGAATGCTGGTTGTGTCTGCCATTAGCTCTGTGACCTTGGACAAAGTGTCTCATCTTCCTGGTCCTCGGTTTTTGACTCTATGATATGGGGACAGAAATGAGACCAGCTTCACGGGATTGCAGCATGAAATGGGCTGCACACCACCCTAGAGACTGTTTTCCGTGTAGGTCTTTGCACATGAGGCCGTGTCAAGTGTACTCTTCAATTTCAATTAAAGGCAGCATTTGTTATAATTGCATTAGAGGAACTGTAAGTACCATAAGCCCATAATTTAATTTCACASATATCAATTGCTTATAGTAAGTCTAAACTTTGAATGTAGGTTGATTTAATGATTTTTTTTWATTTGGTACTGGAGATGGAACCCAGGGCTGCCACTGAGCTATGCCCCAGTCCTTTTTATTTCTCATTTTAAGAAAGGGTCCTGCCGAGTTGCTGAGGCTGGCTTCAAACTTGTGATCCTCCTGCCTCAGCCTCTTGAGTCACTGGGATGATAGGCATGTGCCACTGTGCCCAGCAAAAAATTAATTTAAAAAAATGTTTTAGTTGAACAATGTCTGGTTTGAGGTCGTGGCAAACATCGTGATTGACTGAGGATTGGGATTTCCTGAGGTGAATTCCTGGGGCAGACTTCTTAACCTGCTCAGTGCCATGGGCCTTGGGGATGGCTTCWTAGGATGATGCAGTTAAGTGCACAGAATAAAACACACAGGTTGCAAAGGAAGCCAATTATGTTGAAATACAGCTATCAAAATATTTTTGAGTGTGTTTACATAGGAATATATGCACATTATAAATGCTCTGCCTAGATGCTAGKAGACCCCAGTCCCTATGAGTGTGAGAACGTGGGGGGTCAGGATGTTTTCTTTTTACACACTTGGATGATTCTCTCCATTGCCTTTTTTTTTCCTCTTGGTACTGGGGATTGTATCCAGGGGTGCTTAACCACTGAGCCACATCCCCAGCCCTTTTTTTATATTTTATTTAGAGACAAGGTCTCGCTGAGTTGCTTAGGGCCTCAGTAAGCTGCTGAGGCTGGTTTTGAACTCACAATCCTCCTGCCTCAGCCTCCTGAGCTGCTGGGATTACGGGCGTGTTCCCTATTTTCTTTTAACTTAATTTTTAAAAACTTATTTGACACACACTTGTATGACGGTATAGGACACAGTATGATATATTTCAAAACAACTAGAAAAGAAGCGAAGGAAGAATCTGTGTCTCCTTTGTCTGYCCCCTCCTCCCACCTCTCCTACAACCCACCTCCCCCAGTTCATCCCCCACCTGCTTCATTCCCGACAGGGCTCCTGGTGTTGCTTAGCACCCCCTCTTCCTTCCCAGAGGGGATGTTTATTGAAGTTTCCTAGGGACATGCCTGATTGGAAGGCTGGAGGTGGGGGAAGATGGAGGACCGGGTTTGAGTACCTTGCAGGATGCTGTACATATAATGTCACTAGGTTTTTATKACATTCAGCTTCCTGTGGACGCTGCTGCTGAGAGGGGTTGTGACTTGCAGGGTGCCCAGTCCATGAGTGACTCAGAAGACACCTGGATCTGACTCCATCTCATCCTGGACCCTGTGCTATTTCTCATTGTCCTCACTCTCTCTCTCTTTCTTCTCTCTCCCTCTCCTCTTTCCACCTAAAACAAGGGCGATCGTGATGAAGGTGACCACTTGCTCAGCTCCTCCTGTATGCCGTGGACATTTCTGAATCTTTTTCACTCTCAGCTCACTTCTTCCTTCAACCACCCTTTGAACCRGGGATGCTTATCTTCCCTACTTTGCAGATGCCACGGAGAGCTTTGATACACCAGAGGGGACAGAGGGACAGTAGCTCAAAAGGAAATCCTAAGATGCAAGTGGGACTGTGTCCAGATTAGAGTAACCTAAGGTCACACCTGGCCATCCTTAACTCACTCCGGGCAAAGAAAGACCTCAGTCCCATTTTAAAGGTGGACACCCCGAGGTGGAGTGTAGGCCACTGCTCAGTTCATCTGGCTCTTGAATTAGGGAGTTCAAAGATGRTAGACTAGATGAGAATATTTCAAAAGGCTTTGTGTGCTTATTGATGGTGAAGAGGGGTTCTTAACCTGGGGTTGCCCATTGGCCTTTTTGATACATAGAGAACTCCTCCCAAATTTACTTGCCTAATGTATAAGACATGAAAAATTAGTGCCCAGGTGTGGCTTTTCAGAATACAATGCACACGAACATAATTCGGCTGCTTTGCTCATGAGAGACCCTTTTGCTTATTTTCTCAATGACTTTTCAGGTGGATTCTTTACTCTGTGGCTTAGCTGGCAGGGGACTCTKTATCAACGCACTGATAAACATTATTTCCCGTCTTCTCTCTTTCAGTAAAGAATACCCCGTGGTTCCCAGGAGCACYGTGAGGCAGAAAGTGGCCTCCAACCACAGTCCCTTCAGCAGCGAACCTCGAGCTCTCTCCACCTCGTCCAACTTAGGGTCCCAGTACCAGTGTGAGAATGGGATCTCCGGCCCCTCCCAGGACCTTCTGCCCCCACCCAACCCGTACCCGCTGCCTCAGGAGCACAGCCAAATTTACCATTGCACCAAGAGGAAAGGTGAGCACAAAGCCCCCCCACCTTCGCCCCCGGCCGCCTCTTCCTTCCTTTTGGGGGTTGGGTGGGGGTGGGGGCATGCACGCTAACACTGATTGATTAGAAAGGYGCAAGCAACACACAAATACATGGAGATGATCAGAAATTCAGATCATGCAAGTAAAACTAAAGGCTCCCTGGACCTGAGTTTCTCCAATCTAGCCCTTTCCTTGAAGAAGACGTATTTGGAATGTCCAGATCTATTTTATCCACTTACTCAAGCTTACATGCGTGACACACACACACAGRTAAATAGTCTTCAAAAGACACTTCCAACACAGGTGACATTAGAGTACATGTCTTTTGCAACATCCATTTGTTTTTTTTAAAAAAACAAAAACCTTTAGGGTGTGTATGTGTATGTGTTTGGTGCTGGGTGTGATCCAGGGCCTTGTGCATGATAAGGACTTCTCTGCCACCAAGCTGTGTCCYGGCCCCTAGGTTGTGCTTCAGATACCCTTTTGCGGCCCCAGACCCGCCCATTTTTGCTAACTGCTGAAGAGATGTGGTCTGCTGGGGCGAGCGGGGTTCGTGTGTCCCTCCCCCCTGGTGGGCAGAGAGGTTGCTTCCGGTGTTCCTTGGATGGGTTCCCAGCTGTGCTCCCGGGGAACCTTCTAGAAGTTCTGGAGTCCTCCTCTGTGTCTCCCAGGTGGACTCTCTCTCTCTCACACACACACAGCCACAACTGACTTCAGCTGGTGTCTGAAACCCTCCGTGTTTTTCTTTGTYGTATGAGAAGTAATGGCTTCTCCCTGAGTCAGCTGAGACCACAAGGGCTCACCTACAAGCAGCAACAAAGAAAATCTCTTGGGAGCCAGAATCAAAGTGGCCGACCTAGGTAGCGTGGCCGCATGGGGCTTCCGTACACATTGGCTYGGTGTGAGCCACAGACAGGTGCAGGCAGCCAAGCCAGAGAGACGCTGGTTCGAGTCTCCCTTCTGCTTCTGGCTTCTTGTGTGACTTCAGGAAGGTGTCTGAACCTCCCTGAGCCTGAGTTTCCCACTTCGTGAAGGAGGAATAAGTCTCCCAGAGCACCCTGTAGATGGTAACCGTGATGAACTAAGGGCAGATAATCACCCMAGAAACTGAGTCCCAGGAGGAAGCCAAGAGATGGTGGCCCGCTGAGGTGACGGCGTGAGGGAAGGCTACACGGGACAGTGTACCCTAGGGCTTGCAACCTGTGGTCTTCAGAACCAATCGGGGTGAACCCACATTTGGTATCTGGAAGTTTGTGTGCATATGGACCTACTTAACTGCATCTCTCTTAAAAAAAAAAAATGAGACCATCTGCTGGAGCTCGTGGAAGGCCTTGTCGGATCGGAGCTCGTGGAAGGCCTTGTCGGATCGGCTTCGTATGAAGACATTGGACAATCCTGCGTGTCTTGTGTGGGCTCACCATCGGCCCGGGGAGTAGCAGCCCTTTTGCTCTTCGTCCTTAGCAAGGCCTGTTGTCACCCCAGAGCCTCAGTAGCCMACTTTGGAAGTCCAACCACCAGGGCCTGAGCTTTTAGAAAAGAAAGAAAAAAAAAAAAGCTCACCCGTGAGCCCCGATAGAAATGGGTGCTTTGGCAGATGTCTGTCCCTGCAGCTGGGATTCTGTGAGGAAAGCACCAGGCTCTCTGACATTCACCKTCTTGCATTTGGAAGGAGGGGAGAACAACCATCGATCCTCGTGTGGGGGCCTGGAGAGCTGACCTGGGGGAGGCCTGACTTCCCGATTTGCCTGAGCCCACCCACATCCTTGCATCTTGAAGGCCTGAACAGTACCACCCCAGCAGCCCCTGGCCCAACTCCCAGCACGTCGGCCACTGGACGCCCTGGAAACAGATGCCTGCAGACGCCTCTGCCTCTCAAGGCCCRGGACAGGGCTTAGGAATGTCCCCCGCAACTTGGGACCTGCAYGGAGGTCCTGTCTGTGTTTTCCTGAAGGGCGTCCTCTCTTGATCCCAGGACAAGCCTTTGAACACTAGGAACACAAGCCTTTGCTGGGATTAGCTGGGAAGCGGAGGCTCAGGTCGGGAAGGTGGGAAGATGTGCCGGCCAGTTCCTGAAGGCAGAATTCGAACCCAGGCCTGGACTGAAATCTGGAGCCTGCGTGCTTCGCCCCGGCTCCCTCCTGTTTCTCTTCCCACTCCTCGTCGGGACACTCTCCAGATTTCCTCTTCCGCCCGAGGCCTGCTTTGGGACTGGGTCCCACGGTGCGGATTCAAGCTCACCAGGTTTGAATTAGGGAGTTCTGTCGATTAAATGAATGCCAGTCCAGAGGAAGGGGAGGAAGAAGTTAAAAAGAACCAATACCCATTTTAGATTCAATATTTACAGCAGTGTCCTTATGAAGGCATCCCGGGGAGTGGAGCGAGAGCCTTTGAAAGCAAGGACCGTAGCCCTCTTTGATTATGGGAGCATTTGATTTTCCTGGGGTATTTGCAGGCGCCTCAGATAAAAGCTTCTCGTGGCCAGTGGGTTCATTGCAGAAATCATCCAAGTAGCTGACCCTTTGAAGCTGTGTGACTGAGGGCAAGTGGCTTCCCCTTTCTGGGCCTGCGTGCAAGATGAGGATCGCAGAGGCACCCACTGTACGGGGCCCTGTCCCAGCGTTCACGCCGGTACATGTGGCTTAAACGTTATGCAAGTCATTGTTGAATTAAAACTGTTGTCGGGTGCTCTCAAGGAGATGCCCTCGGTGCTAATGGATGTCAGATTGAAGCGTCATGCGGGGAGGGCGATCGGAGAGTGAGCCCCAAAGGGAGTGGGCTGGGAGCAGGTGAGGGGGTGTCCCCAGGTACTCCCCTTGGGCAGGAAGCCTGCCCTCTCTGGGGAGTGACCAAAAATCTGTGACTCTGGAGAAAGTGGTAGGAAATGTCAAAAAGGAAGGGCAGGGACCGGCTCTGTGCCAGTGTCACCGGTCATTTGAATCAGGGGCTTCAGCTGCTCCCCTTGCCCGTGGGTGGGTGAGTGAGTGGCCCTCGAGAGCCGTGACTAGGGTTTTCTTTGCGTTCGGAAGCAGTCACTTTTCATTGACAAGAATTGATACCAGGGACCTGCGGCGGGCTCAGAGGCGTGAGATGGTGGCCCAGAGCAGGGTGTGGGAGAAGCTGGAGGTGTGGGTGGGATCAGGCCTCGGTGACTGGCTGCAGATAACGCGGTGAAGGATTGTCGCCTTTGCCCCGATTAGGAGATTTGGAATCTGGAGCTCAGAGAACTTGCCCCAGTCACCCAGCTMGTGAGGGGCCCAGCCTGCGATGCCCACCTAGGCCTGTGGACTCGGAATGCACCCGGTGTGCACCCTGGAGGGGACCGTCACCTTTCTAGGAACCTCTGCCCTCTCACCTACCGCTCCCCCGAAGAGGGAGCTCCCGGTGACAGAGAACATTCCAGATGAACTCTGTCTGTCCTGCCCGGGAGACAACAAATAGCAATTCATCATCGGCGTCCACATGGGCCCGTGATAAGGAATCAGCCGAGGTTTCCTTCCAGTTTGGGATTCCCGCTAAGTGATGGCTCCATGGGTGGCTCCCCGCCCCCGCTGGCCGCTATCTGACTTCCCCCCATTGTCTGTCTCCTCTCCAACCAGCCCAGGAGCCGGGCCCAGGGAGATGTCAAAGGGCCCGCCAGGCCAGAGGCCATCCTCGTGTGTGGACCCTGCTGTCTCCAAACTATCTCTCCCTGTGGGTTGAGTMGAAAAAAAAAGAAAGAAAGAAAAAGAAAAGAAAAGCCGGGAAGGTCCTTTATCAATGCCACTCAGACAAATCCAGGACCCGGGCCTGGGAGAGCCCTCGTCCTTCCCCCCTCCCACCTTGATCCTCGGCCCCCTCCCATTAGCAACCCAACACGACCCTAATGAAGATCTTGGCACAGCAAATGACAGAAGAGGGTATTCCAAGGGTAGCCGGGGATTGAGAGAGGGAGGGGAGCCGGCTATTGGAGAGGGTTTGGCAGGGTCCCTTTCCCCAGTGGTGTGTGTTTTAGAAAGCATTTCCACAGCCATTCCTTCACTGGACCCTCGGAGCCAGAGGGGCCAAACAGAGGTTGAGAGCCAGGGTTAGATTCTAGGGTCATGTGGTTGATGAGTGGTAGATCTGAGGCAGAAATTCATCAGACAAATATTTATTGAGCACTTGCTATGGACTGGGCACGGCGCTGGGTACTTGCGATAAGCCAAGGGCCAGGAGAAAGGGCCCCTGCTCTCAGGAAACTTGTATTCTCACTGGGGGAGAGAGTTACTAAGCCAACAGATGAATTGAATGATTTCAGATGGTGACCAGGTGACATTTGAACTTGAGTCTTTGGATCATTAGTTGAGGATTTTCCTGTAGTTCCATTCTAGTCCTTTCCATTTTAACCCAAATGCTAAGAGCATGGGAAAACACACACACACACACACACACACACACACACAATTTCTTCTTCCATCCATCCATCCACCTGTCCATCCATCCATCCGACCATCCACCCATCCATCTACCTGTCCATCTATCTACCTGTCCATCCATCCATCCATCCATCCGTCCATTCCTGTCCACCCATCCATTCACCTGTCCATCCATCCATCCATTCATTCCTCTGACCACCCATCCATCTACCTGTCCATCCATCCACCTGTCCATCCATCCATCCACCCATCCACCCATCCACCCATCCATTCACCTGTCTATCCATCCATTCATCCATCCACCCATCCATCTACCTGTCCATCCATTCATTCCTCTGTCCACTCATCCATCCACCTGTCCACCCATCCATTCATTCCTCTGTCCACTCATCCATCCACCTGTCCATCCATCCATCCATCCATTCATTCCTCTGTCCACTCATCCATCCACCTGTTCATCCATCCATCCGTTCATCCACAGCCTGCCCGTCAGTCAGGGTTCAAGGTTGCTGCTCTTCACATTGGCAGAGCATGGCGAGTTGCATGAAGACAGAAAGCCCCCCGTGTCAGGAAGAGCACTGTTTTGTGAGCCAGAAGTCTTGACTTATAGGTGCCCTGAGGGCCAGACAAAGGTCTTCCAAGTGAATGAGCCCGATCAGGAAGGGGAATGCCCCAGTTGGACACTGYGACCAGATTCGCTCCACGGGATTAGTGATTGAAAAAGCAGCTTTGTGAGTCTTCAGCTCTGGAATCTGCCCAGATACCTCCAGGTAGTGGCTGACCTTCAGAGAACCATCTGTCCAGCCTTCTGAGAGGGAAAAGAGGAAAAAGGTGCAAAACTGGTTATTTGAACACACAAGAGATTTCAACGCTCTCTGCTGACTTCTTGTGCAAGGAAAACAGAAACTACATTAGCCCAATTATTTTTTTTTTATATATTTTTCTTAATTGTAGATGGACACGCAATATCTTTATTTTGTTTATTGATTTTTATGTGGTGCTGGGGATGGAACCCAGTACCTCACACATGCTAGACATGTGCTCTACCACTGAGCCACAACCCCAGCACAGCCCAAGTATTATCTCAATTAAACCTCACAAGAAGCTCAGGTATTATCCCATTTACAGTCAAGAACTGAAATTGGAATGGTCCAGTGGTTCAACCATGACCACATAGCCATGGTTCTGTGCCTTAAAATCTGTGTTCTGGATTCATCACTAAAGCCACTCTACCAAAACCATCTAGAAAAATCCAAAGAACTAGGTTTTTCACCATGAATGCTGTACTGGATGGTCAGAACCAGAAAGAACTTCCCTGTTATCCAAGAGAGTCGGTTGGGGCCAGGAGAGTTGCGATATAACTGACCACACAATATATATTTTCTGGAGCTGAGCAGTAGCTTCACCTCRTCAGAAGAACTCGGTGCTTGATGACAGCCAAGTCCCCAACCCTGGAAGCCCAACAGGATTTGGTCAATAGAAGGAGAGGCACCAAATCATAACCCAAATAAACACAAGAGACTCTGCCCATTGATCACCACTGACCTGAAATTTGGACCCTGGCTTTGGAATTTCTGTAAATTCTGATGAGGATGGAGAGGAATGGGGGGCGTGCCCGGGACCTGCTTTCATCAAGAAGCCAACCCAGTGTTCCTTAGGGCCCTGCATCGGATCACGGGGATATTAAAGACTGGAATGTATGATTTTACGATTTTCCAAAATGTGTTCCGGCCTTTTGCTTATGATCCCCATCCCCCCTGCCCCCGGTTTTTTTTTTTTTCTTTTGACTTATTACAAATCTGGAAAAGGATCAGAAACTTGAGATGGTTAGTTAGGCTTGTTTTTTCTTTTTTTTTTTTTTCTCTTGCCAAGGGTACCCTGCAGCTGCACTTTCTATTATTGAAATGGGGAACGCCCCGGCTTAGTGAGAAAAACCAAAGGTTACGGGCCCAGCAGCGATGGAAAAACATGCAGAATTTATGGATCTGGTGGGTGGAGGAGGAAGGAGAGCAAGGGGGGAGAGAAGGCAGGCRGGAGCAAGGACCCCAACAAGCTGGGTGCCTCGGTGGCTTCGAGACTCCAAAAGAACACCGGGTTGAAAGGCAATGGATGTCATCTGGATGTCTTCAGACATCTGGGTGGTTGGCACCATACCGTCAGAGCACCTGGAAGAGTGACCGCAGTTTTCTTTCTTTTTTTTTTTCTTTTCATTTTGTGCAATTTGTTGGGCACCCTATGGGTCCCAGATGTGTTCCAGAACGACGTTAGCTGAAAAAATAAACCTGCTTGTCATTCAGCGGGTACAGACGACCCTATCGGTGGGTCTCACGTGGGGGGTCGTTGCAAATGGAGGCGTACAGTGGAACCCAGGCCCGAGCTTCTCAACCCGGGGTTGGGGGCTGTTTTATGTATCCGTCCAAAGCCCAGGGAGTTTCTGTCCAGTGAGTGACATTTGGAGTCTCAGAGAGCCAGGCCTCCCCACTCAGCTCCTCCAGGAGGCTGAGTGAGGCCAGGCGGGCATGTGCCCCGGGACCAGGATGGCATCTCCCCTCTCCAGAACCTGGCAGCCGACCTGGCACTTGGTAGGAGCTCAGTAAACATCTGTCGCATGCCTGGGTGACCTGGAGGCAAGGTGTGCAGGCAGAGGAAGTCGGACCTGGCCCCTGCTCCTTCCCAGCTGGCTGACCTTGGACAGGTCCCTTCTCTGAGCGTCAGTGTCTGCCTCTGAGGAATAGGAATGATGCTGATGTGTTGAGGGGGATATGAGAATAGCTCTACCGCGAGGCTGATGGGCACATCACCCAGTGACCAGAGCTGCCCTTGATGATGCCCACCAGGGAAACCCGTGCTCCTTCTTATTCGTTCCTGATCACCCAGTGAGGTGAGGGTCGCTGGTGGCCGCCCTGCTGGGCTCAGGCAGGCACCAAGTACAAGAGTCAGAGGCAAGTCCGAGGCCCCTTCTCCTGGAGGCTGGAAGGGGTCCTTGAACCTCCTGAGGTCGTGTGCAGAACTCTGTGTCCCTTCCACTGTCATATTTCAGTGTATTTTTCTCAGCGACAGCCTGGCCTCTCATATTTTAAAATTGGTGCACCATAATGACACACGACCGTGGGACAGTTGTGAATTTGTTGTGTACGCACACAATATATAATAATAATCAATGACCCTCCCGGCCTCCTTCCTCTGTCCTGTGGTCTCTATTTGCAGGAGACCCCCCCCCCACCACCACCACCTTATCTTCCCTCTCACTTCCACACAGGAGAGAAAACCCATGGTCCTTAACCTTCCGGGTCGGCTTGTTTGTCTGACATAATGCTCTCAAGTGCCGTTCTTCTTTGTGGCTAAATCAAATTCCGTCGTGTGTGGAGAGCACAGTTTCTCATCCAGTCATCTGTGGGCGGACACCCAGGCTGGTTCTGCAACTTTGCCATTGTGAACGGTGCTGCTTGGTGGTTGGCAGGCCTGTGTGGTGACAGTAGGCTGGCTTCTGTTCTTTAGGATGACACCCAGGAGCGGCACAGCTAGCCCAGTGCTTGTGTCCATTCCCAGGGACGGACTGGTGCATAGAGAAGGGAAGTGAGCTATTTTGTAAAGACACAGCAGCACTTTAACTTGTACCAACTCAACAAATACTAACTGGGGACCTCCTTACAGAGGGTGTCTGGAAAGGGAATTCATCAGGTACCCATCCTTTTATCCATTAGTCCATCCATCCCCTCATCCAACCATCCATTGGGCCATCTGCCCGTCCATACATCCATCCATCTGTCCATCCATACATCTGTCCATTCATCCGTCCACCCACTTACCCATCTATCCATCTACCCATTCATCTGTCCAGTGACCCCTCAGTCTGTCCATCCATCCATCCATCCACCCACCCATCCATCCACCTACCCATTTATCCACCCACCTATCCATCCATTCATCCATTCCTCATCCATCCATCCATCTGTCCATCCATACGTCCATCCATCCACCTACCCATCCATCTGTCCATTGATTCCTCAGTCTGCCCATCCATCCATCCATCCATCCATCCATCCATCCATCCATCCATCCATGTGTCCATCCATATATCCATCTATTCATCCTCCCATCCATCTGTCCACTGACCCCTCAGTCTGTCCATCCATCCATCCATCTACCCACCTACCCATCCATCCATTCATTCATCCTTCTGTCTATCCATACATCCATACATCCTTTTATTCATGACCTACTTATTCATCCATCCATCTATCTATCCACCTGTCCATTGACCCATCCATCCATCCATCCATCCATCCATCCATCCATCCATCCACTGCACAAATATTGACTGCATGTCTTCTTCATGGAGCAGGGACCGGGGACTTGGTAGTCAGATTACTTTGGGTCTAGCACCATTTATCAGCCATATGAGACCCTGAGCAAGTTTTTTTAACCTCCGTTTATTTTCCATCATCTAAAGAGTAAGATTAACAGTGCAAGCACCTCACAGGTTGTTGGGAGGATTAAATGGGTCACCTCCTAGAGGACGCTTAGGCAGGATAGGCACTGAATGTGTTCTTGTTGTTACATTGATACTGTCGATGGCATTATTCCTGAGCGGGTATCCGTCTGGGTGCATGGTGATGGAGAGGTCAGACAATGTCCCATCTTTGTGGAGTTGACAAGCTGGGGAGCAGAGAAGAGGATAGTGACACTGTACCGAACATCTCCTCACGCCAATGCCTAACCCACATTTTCCCAAGGGTCCCCTCTGCCCCCTGCGTAGGAAGAGCTGCTTGTACCTTTCCATCTTCCAGATGCAGACACGGAGCTGAGAAGGGCCAGGCTGCTCACTTAGAGCATCACAGCTGAGCGCTGGACCAGCCAGCTCCCTCTTCTCTTCAGAACGGAGGTTGGGGCTGACCTTCTCCAGTCCTGTCGCCAAGTGGCCCTCTGTGCTCCTGGCTGTCGGGCCACTGGCCCCTGTCTCACAGGTCCCTGTCCCCCTGTCTCCGCAGATGAGGAATGCTCCACTGCAGACCACCCCTACAAGAAGCCATACATGGAGACACCCCCCAGCGAAGAGGACCCCTTCTACCGCCCCAGCTACCCGCAGCAGCAGGGCCTGAGCGCCTCCTACAGGACAGAGTCGGCCCAGCGACAGGCCTGCATGTACGCCAGCTCCGCCCCGCCCAGCGAGCCCGTGCCCAGCCTGGAGGACATCAGCTGCAACACGTGGCCCAGCATGCCCTCCTACAGCAGCTGCACGGTCACCACGGTGCAGCCCATGGACAGAATCCCCTACCAGCATTTCTCGGCTCACTTCACCTCGGGGCCCCTGGTCCCCAGGCTGGCCGGCATGGCCAACCACGGCTCCCCGCAGCTCGGAGAGGGGATGTTTCAGCACCAGACCTCCGTGGCCCACCAGCCTGTGGTCAGGCAGTGTGGGCCTCAGACTGGCCTCCAGTCCCCCGGCAGCCTGCAGCCCCCCGAGTTCCTGTACTCTCATGGGGTGCCCAGGACCCTGTCCCCCCAGCACTACCACTCCGTGCACGGGGTCGGCATGGTGCCAGAGTGGAGCGAGAACAGCTGAAGCCGGGTGGCCCTGACGCAGGCATTTGCTGAGAGAGAGAGGAGAGGGGCGAGGGAGAGAGATGGGCGCAAGGAGGACCCCCCCACGAGTTTTCCACTCTGCATCCGCGCACTCGAGGCCCCCGGGCGCTGATCCGATCAATAGTTTGCAAACCAACCACCATCCAAAAAAAAAAAAAAAAAAATCTGACTCTGTCGTTTTGATTCCAAACTTCAAAAACCAAGCGAAGACGGCATCGCATGCCCGAAGGACTCCCCGCTCCTCACCAGCCGCCTCGGCCCCCTCGTGTCTCCCGATGCCTTCTTTTAGGTTCCAGAACATCCTGCTCAGTGAGTGTCTCATCCTGGTGGATCTTGGGAACCTCGCGCTGTCTCGGTGTTAATGTCGACTTTGTTATATAATAAATAATAATATATTTTTTTTCTTCTGATTTTCTTAACGGGACCCAGTCCCTTATTGGAGGGAGATTCCAAATAGACACTTGCGGGATTCCCTGGGCAAAAACCAGCCCTAAAACTTAACCTTGGCCTTCCTCTTCTGTCTGAGAGAAGCACCTACCTCTGCCGCGTGATGTCTCCCAGAAGATCCCCACGTCCCCGGCTGGTCTCTGCCTCTGCCAGCTCGTTGGTGCCCAATTTTGCCTTTGACTTGCACAGATGGACTTGGGATCTCCGCCCCACCTACCCCCAGCTCCAGGTCTCTCCCGCCATCTGTCGCTAAAAAAGTGGCCTATGGTTTCCCCGTCCGGAAATCTTGCTTTGAAAAAAAAAAAAAACTTAAAAAAGCCCTGGTTGACCTGCGGGCAGGACTCTGATAAGCAGAGAGCAAGCTCTGTACCGACAAGAAAAAAAAAAAACACATAAATATTCTTTGCGATTAAAACAAACAAAGCCAGCCCCAGGCGTCCTGCCCACCCACAGGATGCAAAGCAGAATCTTCAGGTCCTCAAGAGGCCACATCTGCTCACCGTTGAGCTCCAAAGAATCCGCACCAGCACCAAAGGCCGACACTCAATTGTGTGTATCGACAGCAGAAAACAGTATTAAAAAAAAAATGTGTGTGTAAGTAAGACGTTATTGTAGGGGTCCCCAGATGTAATATTTTACTGGTACTATTTATTTATAAATAGGAATTCTAATTAAGTAATAACAGGAAATCCAGCATGGGAGCTGACCAAGAGCTTTTAATTTTATTGATACTCAAAAACCAAGTTTGTGTTTTTTAATTTTTTCCCCCTTTTTTTCTTCTGAATGATCTTTGCTTTCTCGATTTTGAAAAAAAGAAGAAAAAAAAACTTTTTTCTTTTTTAACTGACCCTAATAAAGAGAACAGGGTAATATGTGAGACTGAGTATGTCCCAGGTCCTGAGAGCTTGGGTATGTTTGTACGTGAGTGTCTCCGCGATTTCATCTTTCTATGTGGCTGAGGGAGGGAGGGGAGAATAAGTACTTGTTCCTTATATTTGTGTGCCAATTAAGCCTAATAAATGCTATGTGCTTAAGGAAGTACAAGGGACTTGGAGCACCCTCTTCTTTCTGCTACTGGGTAGAGGGGACAATAAGAATGTCACCTTTCCTAGGCCAGGAGCTAAGTGAGAAGAGTGAATTAATTATAAAGAAATGACAATCAAGCTTCTCTCACATGCAAGGGAGAACTAGGTCAATGGCTTTTCTGTCCCCCAGGGACAGAATGAGTACAGTTGTACTGGGTAGGTTCTGATCCGACTCTAAATAGGTATTTAATTCTGATGGGTTTAATTTTTTTAAAAAAGTTTGCCTTGGAAGAAATGTCCTTCCAAACTAGTTTTACCAACTCTACAGTCAGTCAGTCTTATTTGATTTCTGAAGAAAACCATCTGAAGACAGGATGATCATTTCTTATTCAGAGTGCTTGGGACCAGATTTGGGAATTTTTATTTTTAGTTTTCAATTTTGAAGTATCTGCCCATATACAATGAGCCACCTTGGGGGAAGCAAGTCCAGCCTAAGCATGACATTCATTTATGTTTTATTCATGACTTATCCTCAACTAATTGTACACAGTAGTTGTAGGGCACTTGCACGTCGTCGGTGGGGTTAGTGTAGAATTTTCCATTTGTAGTGGTAGGTCTGTATCCAGAAAGATTCCGATTCGGGAGCTTTCGGATTTCAGACTTTTGGACGAAGGATGCTCCGTCTTCGCAGAAGAGAACCACCCACCACACTCCTCAGAGTCTTGCCACTGTTAAAAAAAAAAAAATCATTAAAAACACGTCCACAGCAGGTTTCATAAATTACACAAGGAACACTGTATCCACGACCTTCGCGGGTTGACCTCTCTGGATCCCACATCATAGTTCTAGTGGATCTTCTCACTGTGTGGGTAGGATTGAGGGTGGAGTACCCCCAGATCCGTGAAGTTTCATCCTGGTGTTGATGTCAAGAGGCGCACAGATATCATTATGTTCCTTTAATATATTTAGGGGGTGCTGGCTCTAGCCTGGGCACATGGTGGGTACTGGGAACATAAAGATGAACAGGGTGATAGGGGCTCTGTCCTCCGGGGCTTGTGGTTTAATGAGAGAAACTGCCCTTGAGCAGTGGTCTCTACTATCAATGAATTGTAGTGTCTGAAAGAACTGCTGGGTGCTGTATGCCCAGGGCCATCCAAGGGAAGACGAGGGCCCTAACACAGTCTGGGTGAGGTGACTTTTGTGCTGAGCCCTAGTGAGGAGTAGCAATGATCCAGGTAAGAATTTGGGAGGAGAAGCATTTCAGGCAGAGGAAATCATTTATGCAAAGGCCCTGAGGCAGAAATTGTGGTGGAAAACAGAGATGTAGGTTAATATGTGGGTAGAAATCACCGAGTCCACATTGGCTCATTTGTTCAACAAACCTATATTAAGGTCCTGTCATATATGGTAGAGACTCTGCCTTTTCGAGGATCTGCTAATTGTGTTAGGTTCTTTTCTAGTTAGTCCCCAGAGCTGCCAAGGACAGGTTCTGGTTATGAAATGTTAGGCTTCTTTGAAGCTAGAAATATTATAGSATCCATTCTAGCTTCTTGGTCCACTTGAGTGTAAGACTTAAAATTATGAAACAGAGAGGAACTTTCTAAGCCAGATTATTGATATTCTTGAGTTCAGAGAGGTTAGGAGTCTTCTGCAGATCACACAGCAGAGCTCAGCTTGGAACCTACATTTATGCAAGACTTGACTTCCTCCTTTATTAAGAGGAGGTATTCTACCTGACTCAAAGGGCTATTGTGAATTAAAGTGAGATAACATCTGTGAAAATGCCCAGGAAGTTATTTAACACAGTAAATGTTCTATAAGTGTTTGAAAAAAAAAGACTTTAATACACAAAAAGCATTTTTTATTCATGGACTTCATAAATATATATTTTTATAAACAGTGATGCCTATTGCTAATGAGAAAATAGGAAATCTCAGAAACTGCTGGTTGGAATGAAAATAAGATAAACATCCTGGGTGCGGTGGTGCATGCCTGTAATCCCTGTGGTTCAGGAGGCTGGGGCAGGAGGATCACGAGTTCAAACTCAGCAACTTAGTGAGGCCCTAAGCAACTCAGTGAGACCCTGTCTCCAAACGAAGGATAAAAAGGGCTGGGGTGTGGCTCAGTGGTTAAGTGCCTCTGGGTTCAATCCCCAGAACAACAACAACAACAAAAAAAAATGAGATAAACATTTTGAGAGGAGGGCTTGGGAAAATATACCAAAAGTTTCAACAAGTTTGCTAATGATTGAATCTGATTATTCTGGTTTGAGRAATGGATCCTAAGATGTGTACAAATACTTTCTGGAAATATCAACATAAATTCTTTAATCTGTGCAAAATTGGAGGGAGTCCTAATCTCCACTAATAGGGGGCCAGTAGGTTAGTAGGTGACCATCTAATGGAATGTTGCATAGCAGTAAAAACACACTTGCAAAGAAAGTGTGCATCGAGATGCTCGGTGAGGGGAAGAAGCAGCTCCGCCTGGTGATGCCACATCACTGACCCCTGCCCAGGAGAGAGACCCCAGAAGCAGCAGGGGAGGGTTGTGGGTGGCTTAAGTTCTCTTTCTGCTTTGGGTGGTTTCCTCTTTTTTTCCTTCCTCTCTCTCTCTCTCTCTCTCTCTCTCTCTCTTTTCT